TGAATATATAAAATATCTTCTGGTTCTCATGGAAATTACATATTTGTTTTTGAGAGGATGAAATGTCACTAACATTATAAAGTATCCAAGTAAGAGTAGCTGTACTTCAACATATCTTTACTCAAGTAAAAGTAAAAAGTTATTACTCAATTTAATATTTGCAAAACTACATCATCAGATGGACCAAAATATAAAGATAAGTGGAAATTTTTGCATTTAAAGGACAAAAATAACAAAAAGTAACAAAAGAATAACAAAATCAGGCAAAACAAAATTTTTCCAAATCAGTTTCTTTCAAAATAAAACTTTAAAGAAATTTCTGTCTGGTGAATTTTTGGTTAAAACATGTTGAAGTAGAAATATTTCATAATAAAATTACTGAAGTACTTTTTAGTAAAAATACTCCTAAAATGTTACTCAAGTAACTGGCGTTACTACCCAACTCTGATTATAAATATATTTATAATAAAACTGTCTCAGAACAACAATATTACCATTTATGTCAGTAATTCTAACATTAGTCACCGTGACAGGCCTGTAGTTTACGTAGGATGGTATAGTTAAAGTATCTCTCTGTCCATTTATGTCGGTAATTCTAACATTAGTCACCGTGACAGGCCTGTAGTTTACGTAGGATGGTATAGTTAAAGTATCTCTCTGTCCCGTCCAGGTCCAGGTGGCTTAAGGAGCCGGATGCAGACTCCACTGAGCTCTTCAGGATGGTGGCTGAGATTTTCATCCTCTGGTGCAAATCCAACGTAGGTCCCTCTGCTCGGGCGTCACCTTAACCCCTCATGCTCCAGCGTCAGACGTCTGCTTTTCTCTCCTGATGCAGAACTTCAAGCGTGAGGAGCAAAACTTTGTGATTCAGAACGAGATCAACAATCTGGGCTTCCTGACCGGGGAGGGCAAGTCCAAGATGTCCAAGGTGATTTTCATCAGGAGAACGTTCTTTACACAGTAAAAAAAGAAGTGTGTTGTTTTACTGGTGGTGTTCTCACTCTGGTTTCCGTCTGCAGTCTGGTGGAGACCAGGAGCGGAAACATAAACGGCGCCGCGGTGAATATTACTCCATCCAGACGTCTCTGATCGTAGCTGCGCTCAAGAAGCTGCTGCCCATCGGCTTGAACATGTGCACACCGGGAGACCAGGAGCTCATCTCTTTGGCAAAGATTCGCTACAGCCTGGTAAGAAACCGACCCGACGCTTTGACTTTTAGACCTTTAAATGCAAACCCGGTTCTCACATCTGCAGATTTTAGCAAGCAGCTACTTTTATTCATGAAGAGGTCAAATTTGGACCTGTCCAGAGTTTGGTAGGGACTAGCTACACTTACATTTACGTTTTTGAAAAACAAAATACTTTTAGGAGTGTTTTTACTACGCTGTACTTTTTACTTTCACTTGTATTCTGAAGTGTCTCTTCTCTTACTGGAGTAAAATTTGTGGATTTTCTACTCAATGAATGAAGAACAAACCAAACACACACCTGCAGTTTTTTAGTTTCTTAAATTTTGTATTGAAAGAAAAAAATAATTTTTTCCTGATTTTATTTTTTTGTTACTTATAAAAAATATTTTTGGTCATTTTGGTCTTTAAAATACCAAAATTTTTCCTTAGCTTTATATTTTTGTCTGTTATTTTTAAATATTAACTTTAATCAATTACTCAGTACTTCAGTAGACTTTTCACTAAATTCTTTTTACTCTTGGGTAATTTCTTAGAAGTTTACTTTTTACTTTTACTTCAGTAATTTTATTATAAAGTATTTCTACTCTTACTGGAGTAAAATGTCTGGATTTTCTACCCACTGAATGACAACAAAAATGTTTTAACCAAAAATTCACCAAAAACCTGCAGTTTTTGTTAGTTTCTTAAGTTTTTTTTATTGAAAGAAACTGATTTAGAAACATTTTGTTTTGCCTGATTTTACTTTTTGTCATTTTTTGGTCCCAAAATGTTCACTTTACTTTATATTTTCATCCAAATGATGATGTAATTTTTAAATATTAAATCATTGATCATTTGATCAGTTACTCAGTTCTTTTGCCAAATACTTTTTCATTCTTGCTCAAGTAATTTCTAAGATGGCTACTTTTTACTTTTATTTGAGTACAACTTTTGAGCGTAACCTCCAAGTCTTTTCATGTGAGTGATGATTGTATTTTAGCTAAGAGTTGAGTCCAAAATAAAGACAAATTCCAGAAGTTCAGCATTCTCTAATCAAAGATATCTAAGGTTCAGTTTCTAAAATAATAAATAAATTATTCTAACATTTATTAACGGTGTTTTGAACAAACCATGTTTTCGTAGAAAGACACGGACGATGAGGTGAAAGAGCATTTGCGTCAGAACCTCCACCTGCAGGAAAAGGTGAAATCATCCTCAGCATTTCAAGCAGAGCAGAGCAGAGCAGAAATCCCTTGAACACAATTTGCTTGATTGTTGATTATTTTTGTAATTCTAGTCTGATGATCCAGCAGTTCACTGGCAGCTGAACCTTTATAAAGACGTAGTGGTGAAATCGGAGGAGCCGTCGGATTCGGAGCACACGGTGGACAGAATCCAGAGCATCTCTGCAGCCGTCTTCAATTTGGAGCAGGTAAAAATTATTTCAAATACAAATGAAGATTAGATATACAAGAACGCAAAAACACCAGTAATTGTAATTTTTGTTTAACACTTAAGATTTTAACCTTGGCATTTTTTTAATTATTTGCTTTTGACATAAATACACACATCACTGCCTTAATAGCATTTAACTTTTTTAAACAAACTTTAATTCATTCCAATGAAAAAAAAAAAAAAACTGTTGCATGGATTTGTTCTTGGTGAAACATTCCCACAGCATGATGCTGCCACAGCTATGAATATGAAATTACACATAAGTGGCGTCTCTTAATAAAATGACAACTGAAAGTAGTTTATTGTACTCTATATTTTTTTAGGGGAGTTTTGAAAAAAGGGGGTAAATATAAATGCACGCCACACTTTTCAGATCTTTTTCCTTACACTTTTTTAAACGTATAATTTACATTCAACTTAAGCTTTCACATAAAGTCCCATAAAAATATAATTTATGACAAAATTTAAAAGTTGTTTGAATTAAATTTTCTTTTAATAGATAAGAATTATTAATTTTTTTTATTATTCTATATCTGTGTGAAACAGTTAAGCAAACTAAGTCAACAAAATCACAGATTTTGAATGTCTGATTGTTTTATCTGATTTTAAACAGATTTTTAAACATTTTTCCCTCCCAGGTGGAACAGCCTCTGAGGAACAAGAAGTGCATCGTCCAGAAGCTGCTGTCCAAGCAGCGTAAGCGAGCCGTCGTTGCTTGTTTCCGCATGGCTCCACTCTACAACTTACCCAGGTGAGCGTTTATCTTTTTAACTGTCAATTTCAACATTTAAATACTGGCTTTAAAATAATATAAAATACAGCTTTTCCTCATCGTCCTACATAATGGGTCTGTTACTTAACCGGTGGCCTTCATCCCGTTCCCGCTGACCTTCTCTCCTCTGTGTTGTTTTTTTTAACACTACCTCGCCCTCCCTCCTCTCAGATACAAAAATAATAATTACTTCCTGAATGGCTATCGGGAGGTTTGGCTGGAAAGGGCGTTCAAAGCCTCCAGCTTTGACCGCCTGTTCTCCCTGCTGACGGTAAAGTGACGTTGCAACAGCTTCCCGCCTTCAGACCCCCACTTCTCATCCGCCAGGCTGTGGAACAGTGGCTGCCTAGCAACCAACCGCTGATTCTGATTGGTCGGCTCGCCTGGAGAAATTGATGCAAAGCAGTAATTAAGAACGTTTTGGGCTATTTGCACTGCAAAAACACAAAATTTTACAAAGTATTTTTGGCCTGGTTTCTAGTACACTTGACTTACAACAGAAATAACTTATAGCTGCTTATTTTAGGTCAGTAATTTAATAATATTGATGAGAAAGTACAAGTTCTACTGGCAGGTTATAAGTCACACATGTCAAACTCGAGGCTTATAGACCAAGTCTGGCCCACTTTTTATGTGTCCCTCTAGAGTGTAGACTAAACCAGTGTTTCTCAACCCTGGTCCTCAGCGCCCCCCTGTCCTGCATGTTTTTGGTATTTCCCTTCAGCCACACACCTGAATTGTATCTCTGGGTGATTAACAGGCTTCTGCAGTACTTAATGGCCATGCAATCATTTGAATCAGCTGTTCTGGAATAGAGGCACATCTAAAACATGCAGAGCAGGGGGGCAGTGAGGACCAGGGTTGAGAAACACTGGACTAAACACTAAGTGTGCTTAAATATCATGTTGCAGTTTTTATCTGTTTACTGCCAAATTATACCAATCAGTCCCTCCAGGTTCTTGGGAATAATTATGGAAATTCATGCAAAATCAACAAATTGAGCTAAAACTGGGAGTTTATAACAGATTTTTCTCAAAAATTGTCAAAATCAGATTATAGTCTGTGATCTTTACAGCAAGGAATAAAAAGTCACATTTACCATAATGAATAAGTGTTAATATTTCCAAATTAGAACCGCAAACACTTGTTTTATTCCAAAAAATCACAAAAAGAATCTCAAAATCCTGGAGGGACTGAAAAGATGTTCAGTAATATTTAATTTTAAGGATTTGTTGATAACAGTTTGTGATCAGGTCTAATCAATACATTCTTGCACAACCGGCCCTTTAAGAGCGTTCATGGTCTGGATTTGGCCCAAAATCAGTTTGACACCTTGTTATAAAACCAATATTAAGGAATTATCAACTTAAAACAGGCTGAAATTACTTTTAAGTCAGTTTTATATTGTATCTATTGCACTAACACATTTCATCTAGAAACTAGAATAAAAATTCTTGGTATAATTTTGTGCTTTTGCAGCGTGTGAAATGTTTTCCAGCTCTTTGTCGAAGAATTCAATAAATCTTAAGTAATTTTTCCTCCTGTTTTGATTGAAAGATTCAATAATCTTCCTACATTTGTTCATCCTTTTTAAGAAAATGTGTTAAATGCCTAAACTTGACCAGTCAGAAGAGCCAGTGGATCCTACATCACAACCCTGCCTGAAATACACCTCCTGTAACCCTCTCCTCCGCCCTGACATCTCTTTCCTTTCTCCTCACAAAAAGGAGGGAACCCTCACCAGAACCCATCCTAATGCCACTCTTCCTCCCTCCACCTCCTCTTCATCCCTCCATCCCCCCTAACCCCTCCCCAGGCATCGTGCTATCAACTTCTTCATCCCGGCCTATGAGAGACTTTGGATAGCGGCAGAGGAGTACTCCTTTGAGGAAAAGCTAGTTCAGGACCTGGCAGTAAGTACGGGGCCCGCCCCGCCCCTGCCCTGCGTTGGCACCCCTCTGCCGGTCCTGTTTGCAGAATGCTTCCTTAGATTGGCGCTCGTTGAGCCTTGGGAGCGAGTCGGGGCGGGGACGCCGCCCAAAGCGCCCGGCGGCCCGCGCAGCAGGCATGCTAAGCCCTTCAGACAGAGATCCGTCAGGAGTCAGAGGCTGCATGATGAGCTCAGGAGGCACAGGGCCAGAAAAGCAGGCGGTGGCGTTCTGATGGCGGCGGTAAGGAGGGTTCTCACCCCGCAGCAGGAGGCTGTTCGGACCCAGATCCAACCCATCAGTTGTCTTTTCGCTTTACTCTGTCAGACGTGTGTGGCGGTGCAGTGCGGTTCTGTGGGCATGGAGTCACATTTTATATCTGTCAAACTGTGAAACGTTTTCCTACCGAGTCCAAGTTTAGGTCTAGTTTTCAGTCCGTCATGTTAGTTTGAGTTTATGAAGATTACCGTTTTGGACGAGGATCATTCTTCATGTTAGCAACAAATACAAAATCTTACCAAGTATCTTTGGTCTGGTTTATAGTGCAAATTTCTTAGTACACTTGAAATAAGACAAAACTAACTTAAAAGTAACTTACTAGTAAGATATAGAGGCTTGTTGTCAGTAAATAATTCCTTAATATTGATGAAAAAGTTCTAGTTCCATTGACAGATTATTTAACCTATAATGAGACGTTTTCCCTTGTTGTAAGTTAATTTAAGTAACTAGAACTTTTTCATTAATATTAAGGAATTATTTACTGACAACAAGCCTCTTTATCTTACTAATAAGTTACTTTTAAGTTAGTTTTGTTTTATGTTTTAAGATATTTGCACTATAAACCAAAAACACTTTGTAAGATTTTGTGTTTTTGCAGTGTGCTTGCATCTGTTTGTTGCATCATGCATGCTTTTAAAAACACAACACAGCTCAAATTTCCTCATTCTCTCCACGAATCACCTTGCAAAGAAAATCTGCATGCTGGTGAGACGTAACCGACTCGTTCATGTGCTTTAAAGGGGACCTGTTGTGCTAATTCACATTTTTTGTACTTCAGTTTTGAATCTAAAAACATGAAAAAAAAATCTAAAAAAAAAAAAAAAAACACCCAATAAGTCGATTTTTTTTTTTGTTTCTGAAAAATTAGCTGTTTCAAACAATGCCACAAACAACCAAGCTCTGCTCCCGTTCCCTAGCAACCCCAGCAGGATGTCTGGTTATACCGCCGTACAATGGCTGCTGAAAAAGACAGGTGTTTTATTGTTGACTCACCATCCAGAAACCACTTGGTGAATGTGTGTTGGTTGTGCAGGAGGCTCCAATTTTGCTTTTCGAAGATGTATGATTGTATCCTTACACATCTGTTTGCAGCCATTTTCACGTGCGAGTGTAAACATTGAGTTGGGGGGCGTGGCCAGCAGCAGTTTGTTTGGATTTAAAGTGACAGAGACCCAAAAACATTCTGAAAGGAGCTCAAAACAAACTAAAATCTGATGCAAAAACATGATTTGTTTAGGCCATAGACTTGTCCTAACCTATTCAGAGAAGCATAATAGGTCGCCTTTAAATAAATAACGTTGATTATATTCATGAGAGGAAGAAGGAGAACGAGTGAGAGAATCTCCTGCGGGATGAGTGATGCAGCTTGTTGACTTCTGTAGAAAACACCGATGAAGATCGTGGAGGAAGAGGAGGAGGAGGTGGCTGAGATCAAGCCGGATCCGCTCCACCAGCTCATCCTCCACTTCAGCCACAACGCTCTGACAGAGAGAAGGTGAGAAGAGGCTGAAAACTCAGAACCGCCACATGAATGTCGATTAGTACAAATACATGCGTCTGTTTTTAGAGCTTTTTCTCAGATGGTAAAACTACAAATGTTAATGATTTATTGGGAAGGAAATACTTTGAATCTTAACCACGGTCACAACTTTAAGTTTTTTTTAAAATTATTTTCTAGTTTTATATGTCTAGAGAGAGAAATGTTTGCCAACTTTTCTTCACAAAATCAACTTTCAAATCATTTTATATGTTTGCCCAGGTGGACTCTATCTACTTATTAGGAGATTACCTAAATTTTATTTTGAGATTTCAAAATAAAATTTTGAAATTTTATTTTCAAAATAAAAATTGAAAATAAAATTCAAATTTTATTTTGAATTTTATTTTCAAAATAGAATAAAATTATTTTGAAATTATTTTATTTTATTGAAGCTGAGGCAGCTGTTCAGTACAAGTAAAGTTTTTGAGAAAAATCTGTAAAAACTCAGTTTTTAGTTCAGTTTGTTGATTTTGCTTGAATTTCCATGATAATTCCCAAGAACCTGGAGGGACTGATTGATATAATTTTACAATAAACAGATAAAAACTGCATTGATTTGATTGATAACATTATATTTAATCACATTTAGTGTTTAGTCTAGAATCCAGAGGACCACATAAAAAGCTACGGTGGGCCGAATTTGGCCCACAGACCTCGAGTTTGACACCTGTGCTCTAAGTCATCTGCTCCTTTTGTGGCGTTTCTAAAATACTCTGCTGACTTTGGTTTATTACGTTTTCATAATATTGTGATTTTTCTTTTTTCCAGCCACCTGGAAGTTGATCCTTTATATATTGCATATGCAGACATGATGGCAAAGGTATTTTCCTTTTGAATAGCTGCAACAGACTCTATTAATTAAAGTTTTTAAATCATGACCCTGTATTTTGTCAGAGCTGTGCAGAGGATGAGGAGGAAGAGGAAGAAGAAGGGCGGGAAAAGACTTTTGAGGTACTGGGATATTGCTGCTTGGGGAAGCAGCTCTGAAACTGTTTTTATGTCTTTTGTGAGGCACGTTTTCGCTTTTCCCCCTCAGGAAAAGGAGATGGAGAAGCAGAAGATCCTGTATCAGCAGGCGAGGCTGCACGCGCGTGGGGCTGCAGAGATGGTGCTGCAGATGATCAGCGCCAGCAAAGGTACCAATGATCCACCTGGGAAAAACCATCTGAACGTCTGGAGAAATAATCCAGGACTTTATGCTAGGATGTGTTTTGGAAAACAAAGCTTTTATTTCTCAGCCTCATTATTTTTTTTATGTTGAATACTAAAATCAGACTCCAGACTTTTTTATGCTCTGTAGAAACCTTGTATTTTCTTGGATTGAGTTTTCATGAGATGCTTTTAGAGGAACAGGATAAAAAGCGGCTGACCTTTATCTCCTCCATCAGGTCGTCTGGGCCCCATGGTGACCTGCACCCTCAAACTGGGCATCTCCATCCTAAATGGAGGCAACGTGCAAGTTCAACAGGTGACCTCTGCTCCCGTCCAACAACCTGCCATGAGCTGCATGATGGCAGAGCTTTATGATCTCATAATCTTCCTTTATCGCAGAAAATGCTCGGTTACTTGACGGACAAAAGAGACGCAGGCTTTTTCAAGAGTCTGTCAGGACTGATGCAGTCTTGCAGGTAGGGACTGTTGGGGCAAAAAGCTTTGAGTCGGACAGAAATGTTGTCTTCTTTCCAGCTCTGTTGCTTTTATGGTAGCAAACTGTGTTTTTAAAAGTGGGAACCACCAGGGGGCGCTGTGGGAGCCTCAAAGTTTGAGGCAAGATGAGGGAAAAAAATTATAAATCTTTTATTTTTCATCAGAATTTTTGTTTTCTGCTACTCAATTATTTTAAAATAAAATATAAGTTAAAATAATTACTTTAAATGTTATTTCTGTTGCTAATTTTCTGACTGGCTGCCAAATTCAAGTTGCTTTGCTCCTTAAGCTAGCATAGCGAGGAAGAAATTTAAGAAATTCTGACAAGAAATGATTCGCTAGCGCATAGTTAGCTTAATGTTTAGCTAGTTCAGAGATAAATGTTTAGCTAGCTTAGTGTTTGGCTTGCTTGAGGCTGGTTTAAATTAGCTAGCTCAGGATTAGATATTTAGTTTGGAGCTAAATAGTTAGCTTACTTACTGTATTTATGAAGCTAGGTGTTTTACTTGCTAACTAGATATTTAGCTTGCTAACTATATGTTAACTTTGAACTAAATACTTGGTTGCTACCTAAATGTTTGGTTGTCTAACAAAATAATTCAAAGAGGTTTTTAATTAATGCCTTGAAAAGGAAATGATAAAAAAGGGAATAATAAAAACCATGAGAAATGTGTAACAACCCTGATTGATGAAATCTTCAAGAAGAAATGTTCAGGATGCTAAAAACTAAGAAGCTAGCAGCACGTGTGTATCTCCTGAAGTGGAGCTAACTATTTCTATCCTTCTTTATTCTCTCAGTGTCCTGGATCTGAATGCATTTGAGAGGCAAAACAAGGCAGAAGGACTTGGCATGGTGACGGAAGAAGGTTCAAGTAAGTCTGAAGATTTTCTCCTGGTTCGTATTTTTTAACTTTCCTTTGCAGCTGAGTAAAGCTGGACCTTTCCAGTATCGGTGTCTGAAATGTGTGGATCAGTGCCTGGACTTTTGACAAATCAAAATGATGAATTTTGATTCAGTTTGCTGCTTGTCTTGGAGTCAGTGAAGTTTTCGGTGTGACGTCTTTTGAGTGTAATGAAAGTAGGGATACGTTTTTCACCGCAGCCCCCAGAAAAATCCCACCTTAGGCTAATATTCTGATGGAACCGGAGCGAAGATGAGGAAGACTTGGTTTAGCACTCAAAGCTCTCACCTCTCTAACCTTCACCACAAACCTCCCGTCTCATCAAACCGTTTGTCTCCTCATCATCATTTCCACTGAGATTTAACAATTCACTGTAACTACTGTTGTCTCTGTAGCCGTTTCGAACCTTTCACCATGACTCCGTTCCTGTTTTGTTAGATGCAACCCAGACCTCTGGTTTCCCCCGTTGTCCTAAGCAGCATGTCTTTGTTTTTCCACTCGTAGCTGATGTATTCATATCTCTTTGTATTGTAACTCGGTGTCCTCTCTTTTTGCTTATGTCTTCGTGTGCCGTTTGTCTCCTTCCTGTCATTTTAAAAACCCATCGATGGCAGTCAACACTCAGCGGGGTAAATAGCAAATTTAGATCATCGTGATATGGCTCTGCTTCCTCCCTGAATGTCCCCTCCATACATGTGGTCCATCCTCCCTGCTTTTATTTGTGACGCTCCTGCTGTCTGCAGGGAGCATGCTGATGGAGAACACCCAAAGTGGGCCATTACATCAACCCACTGCCTGTTTTCTGTTTTATCCTGCTTTTTGTTCAAGTCTCCCTCCCATGTTAACATTTACTAATGCCAGTCCTGATTAGTGCTGCTCAGATACGTTTCAGTGCCACTTCAACAGGTTTGACTAAATAGGTCTGTGGGCTCTTCCACAGCTCAAGCAAAGCTTTGGCTTGCTTTGGATTTGGGGGCTATTCCACAAAGCTGGTTCTGTTTTATAATTATCAACTTTCACATGGTGTCACAAGCTGCTTTCTACGACGGCATGGGAGGGCTGCTGTAGGTAGAGCAAAAACGGAAAACATTTCCCCCGCTTTTTTTTTTTTTTTACCAGAAAACTCACATTTTCTGGGAAATAAACAAGTTTGAAGTCAAAACTTTGCTAGAAAAGTCTAAGAATTTTCTTTGATACACATCAGAAATATTCTAGAAAAAAATAACAAAATTTCTGAGTTTTAAAAGTTGAAAATATGCCAAAAAACACACGAAATTTTGAGATTAATCTCAGAAATATTCTTTAAGAAAATGAGAAACTTTGAGTTTGAAAAACCAAAAATTTGTTAGAAAAAAAATTAATCTCAGAAATATTCTAGAAAAAAATAACAAAATTTCTGAGCTTCAAAAGTTGAAAATATGCCCAAAAAATATGCCCAGAAATGTTTTAGAAGAAACAAAATTTCTGAGTTTGAAAAGTTGAAAATACACCAGAAAAAAAATTAGAAGTTTAGAAATTGATCTCAGGAATTTTCTAGAAAAAAAAAAAGAACAAACATTCTGAGCTCTGAAAGTTGAAAATATGCCCCAAAAAAGAAAATTTGAGATTTTTCTCAGAAATTTTCTAGGAAAAGCATGGAATTTGTTTGAAAATTAAAAAAAAATTCAACTTTTCAAACTCATAAATTTACACTTTTTTCTAGAAAAATTCAGATTAATCTCAAAATTTCAGATTTTTCTCCAGCTAATTTTTGACTTTTCAAATTCAGAAATTTTCTTGTTTTTTTTTCTTCTAGAAAATCTTAGAGGTTAATCTCAAAAGTTCTGAGTTTTTTCTTGAAAATATTTGACTTTGAATTGTCTTGCTTCTCCTAGAAAATGTCTGATTCTTTTCTAGCAGACTTGCTCTCTTCTTCTCCCTGCAGTGGCCCTGTTATTCCATCGTAGCGTTCAGATTTCAATCCACCTGATGTGATTTATTCTGACTGGATTAGCCGGTTAAGATGAATTGTAAACCTGTTTGTCCGCTGTTTTCACCGGGCCTCTTCACGGCCTGCATGTGAAAGTTTTCCAGCTTCCTCCAGCTTAAGGAAATGTCCTGGTGTTTCGTTGTTGATTTTATTTTATCTTATAAATCGGCTCTTTGGATTCAGTTTTCCACCTGTAATCTAAAGGCTCAGAAACCTGGACATCAGAAATGCCCGGCCTGCCTTTACATGACGCAGTGCTTTGCAAAAGTATTGATGCCTCTTCGACTTTTTCACATTTTGTCTCATTACTACTGGAAACTTCATTGATTTGGGGGGATTTTATGTGACAAATCGGAACAAAACAGATTTACAGATAAAATTAAAAGTTTTTATGAAAATCAGAAAAACGTTTTATGCATTTGTGCTTGTGGTTTTTTAGTCAGCTGGCACATTTCGTCTTTGTAAAATAGTTTAAGCTCAGGCAGGTTAGATGGAAACCAAACGTATATATTTTTTATATATTTTCAATTGGATTTATGTGTGGACTTTGACTAGACCACTCTCACAGAATATACAGCTCTGGAAAAAACTAAGAGCCCACTGCAGTGAACCCCGTTGAAAACCTGGTTTTTCCACCAAATATTGATTTCTGACCTGCGTTAAAACGTCAGTATTGCTGTTTCTAAATGAATATAGACTTGTTTTCTTTGCATCTTTTTCATTATTTTGACCATTTCTCATTTTCTGCACATAAAAAATAAATTTTTACTTGTAATTTCAGAGACATGTTGCCAGTAGTTCATAGAATAAAAGTACATTTTACTCAAACATAAACCTTCAAAGGGTAAAATAAGAGAAACTGATCATTCTTAGTGGCTTCTTAATTTTTTCCAGAGCTGCATCTTTAGTCTTTTGTGGCCATTTTCTTCCAGAACTTTGCTTCCATCTTTACACCCACCATGGAGATGCTGTTTTCACCAAGATGTGAAATTTTAGTTTGAAATTTTCTAGAAAAAGCAATAGTTCTGAGCTCAAAAAGTTGAAAATATGCTTTAAATAAAGAACCAATATTTTTAGATGAATCTCAGAAACACTCTAGAAAAAAATTATTTCTGAGCTCCAAAGGTTTGAAAAAAAAAAGAAAAAAACTCCCAGAAATTTTGAGTTTAATCTCGGATATTATCTAGAAGAAGGAAGGAAGTTTCTGAGTTTGAAAAGTGAAAAATTTGTTAGAAAAAAACTAATCCCAGACATTTTCTTAGGACAAAGAACAAAATAAAAGTAAAGTCAGAGAAACTAAAAAATAAATTTTTTCCAGAGCTGTATGTTTTGTCGTTTGCTCCACTGACAGATTTTCTTCCAGGATACGCTTCGTTTGCCTCCATCCATCATGAAGATACTAGCTGTGAAAACAGCCATTGTTTTCACAAAGACGTAAAGTTTTAGTTTTCCTCCACCAGATTTTGGATATATGTTAAAGTTTATTTTTCTAAAAACAGAAGAACGGGACATTTTATGTGTCGCTCTGTCAGATAAAATCCCAATCAAACTGAAATGTGACAAAATGGGTACAAAAACTTTTGCAAGGGATGATAGTTTTAAATTGTTTTAAATAAATGATTTAAAACTTTGGATCTGCATTAACGTGAAAATCTTTTTCAAGGCTCCAAGGTGCTTCAGAACGACGAATTCACCAAAGATCTGTTCCGCTTTTTGCAACTTCTCTGTGAGGGACACAACGGAGGTGAGGAGCGAGTTTAAAAACAGACGCACTGGAGCACAGAGTCACTTTTAAGTTAAACTTTTTCTTCCGTCAGATTTCCAGAACTTCCTGAGAACCCAAACTGGAAACACGACCACAGTGAACATCATCATCAGCACTGTGGACTACCTGCTCCGCCTCCAGGTGGCGCACGCGCTCACACCCTCCTCTTCATCACGCCTGTTTGTTCCTGTGATCATATCTGCTGCTCTTCGTCTCCCGTTTAGGAATCGATCAGTGATTTTTACTGGTATTATTCTGGGAAAGATGTAATTGATGAAACTGGGAAGCACAACTTCTCCAAAGCTTTATCTGTAGCCAAGCAGATTTTTAACTCGCTCACTGAGTACATTCAGGTAGGAGACTCATAAATAAAGTCACTTATTGATGTTTTTATCGTGGATTTCATGGTGTTTTCTCTCACCTGCAGGGGCCTTGCATTGGAAACCAGCAGAGTTTAGCTCACAGCAGACTGTGGGATGCAGTCGTCGGCTTCCTGCATGTGTTTGCAAACATGCAAATGAAGCTTTCACAGGTTAACCCAAACTCAGGCTTTATTTTTGTCACAAATCACAAAAAACATTATGTGTATAATGTGTTGTAAAAGCCAACGATGTTCAGATTTGACTTCAAGTAATTAGTTTGTGAAAGAAGGAAGCAAACTGAAAACCGTCCTGAATGTAAGGACTCCAATCTAAGGAGCGACTAGAAAAAGTACTTAAGATACGAAAACCACTGACTACAATGATAATCTGCCTAAATCTTTGCCATGTAGCAAAGATCAATAAATCTATAATTACAGTTTAAAAGAGAAAAAAATTTGATTTTTATTTTCCTCTTTTAACCATTTTTTTCTGTTTAGGGTTTATGGTTGGATTTTTTTTTGCTGTCATTTTTAGAAAAAACTGCAAGAACACAAAATCTGACCAGGCATTTTGGTCCAGTTTCTAGTGCAAATATCTTAGTTTTCTCTTATTTCTAGTGTTTTAACTTCTCAGCAACATGTAGGGTTTGTTTTAAGTAAATAAAACAAAAAAAATTAGCTACATTGAGATTATTTCACTAAAAATACAGGAATAGTGAAAGTGAAATAATCTGCCAATGGAACGTTTTCACCAATATGAAACATTTTTTGACTAAAAATAAGCTCATATTTCTTGCTGAAAAGCTATTTGTAAGTTCATTTAATCTTATTTTAAGATTTTGTGTTTTCGCAGTAAATATCTGGTTAACTTCAGTAGCTCTGTTTTGTTGCAAGAACAGAAAAAAATCTTAAACTGTTTTAATTTTAAGGATGCCAGTCAGATTGAGTTGTTGAAGGAACTGATGGATTTACAGAAGGACATGGTTGTCATGCTGCTGTCTCTCCTTGAGGGTAAGATGGTGAAAATGTTGTTTAATTTAATATAATTTTAAAGTCGTAAAGTAAGCAGAGTGGTTTGGTGCCTCTCCAGGAAACGTGGTGAACGGGACAATCGGGAAGCAGATGGTCGACACCCTGGTGGAGTCTTCCAGTAACGTGGAGATGATCCTGAAATTCTTCGACATGTTCCTCAAACTGAAAGACCTCACCACGTCCGACAACTTTAAGGAGTACGACCCGGAATGCAAAGGCGTCATTTCCAAGAAGGAGTTCCAGAAGTCGATGGAGAGCCAGAAGCAGTACAACCAGTCAGAAATCGAGTTCCTGCTGTCGTGCGCGGAGGCCGACGAGAACGACATGTTCAACTACAAGGAGTTTGTGGAGCGATTCCACGAGCCGGCCAAGGACATCGGGTTCAACGTGGCCGTGCTGCTGACCAACCTGTCCGAACACATGCCGCACGACGCCCGGCTCGCCACCTTCCTGGACCTGGCCGAAAGCGTCCTCAGCTACTTCGAGCCGTACCTGGGGCGCATCGAGATCCTGGGCAGCGCCAAGCGAATCGAACGCGTTTACTTCGAGATCAGCGAGTCGAGCCGCGAGCAGTGGGAAAAGCCGCAGGTGAAGGAGTCCAAGCGGCAGTTCATCTTTGACGTGGTGAACGAGGGAGGAGAGAGCGAGAAGATGGAGATGTTTGTGAACTTCTGCGAGGACACCATCTTTGAGATGCAGCTGGCCTCGCAGATCTCCGAGCCGGACGCCGTGGAGCAGCCGGAGGAGGAGGAGGAGGAAGAGGTGCACAACATCCTGGAGGAGCTTTCTGGGGGAGACGCCGCCGCCCTGGAGTCCGCCTCGGCGTTCACCACCGCCTGTCGTTCGGTCAAGAAGAGTCTCTCAGAAATCCGGCAGATCTTCACCATTAAAACGGCGCGCAAGCAGTTCAAGAAAATCAAGAAGCTGAGCATCAAGGAGCTGATCACCGGCTTCTTCTCCTTCTTCTGGATGATCGTCATCGGCTTCTTTAAGGGGATTATCAGCCTCGTGTTCGGTTTCTTCCACGTCATCTGGTCGTCCATGTTCGGCGGAGGGCTTGTTGAAGGAGCCAAGAACATAAAGGTGACGGACATCCTGGGCAACATGCCGGACCCGACGCAGTTCGGCATCCACGGCGACGTGGGGGAAGGAGACAAAGTGGAAGCCATGGAGTCGTCGGGCAGCTTGGATAAAGCCATGGCTCCTGCAGGAGACGCCACTGAGGTGGACGTGATGCTGGAGATGCTGACGCCTAAGAAGGAGGGAGGGAAACACGTGGAGCCCGGCCTGGGGGACGTGTCGGAGCTGAGCGGGGAGTCCTCCGCTGCAGACAGCAAGAAGGTGCTTCAGCTTCCTCTGTTCAACTGGGCCTCTCTGGAAAAATGAAAGAATTTAATCTCAGAATTAAAATCTGAATTTTAAGATTTCTGATTTTTTTAAAAAGTCAGAATTCGGATGAAAAAAATCTGGATAAAATAAAAACAATTCTGAGAAAAAAAAAACCTGAAACGACGTGGAATTCTGAGCTTAAGGTCAAAATTTTGAAAAAAATCCCGCTCAGAATTCTGACCAAAAAAAACCTGAAAAAAATTAGAATCCTGAGAAAAAAATCTGAATAAAACAAAATAAAACTATTCTGAGAAAAAAAATCTGGAAAAAGGTAAGAATTCTGAGATTAAAGTCAAAATTTTTTGGGGAAAAAACTCTCAGAATTCTGACCAAACAACATAATTCTACGAAAAACATTGGAATTCTGAGAAAATAGTCAGAATTCTCAAAAGTTGGAATTCTGAGAAATAATTCAGAAAAAAAATCAGAAATCTGACAAAAAAGTTGGAATTCTGAAATTAAAGTCAAAATTTTCGGAAAAAAAACAAAACAAACAAAAAAAACACAAAAAACAAAACAACTCGCAATTCTGAGAAAAGAACTTGGAACTGACAAAAAAATTGGAATTCTAAGGGAAAAAAATCTGAATTCAGTAAAAAAAAATTGAGAAAAAAAGTTTTAATTCTAAGAAAGCAGAATAAAATGAGATCAAAGTCAGAATTTTGAAAAAGAACTCGGAATTCTAAAATAAAAAAATCGGAATTCTAAGAAAAAAGTTGGAAATCTGACAAAAGGTTTGGAATTTTGAGGAAAAAAACCTGAAGTAAAAAAACAAAACAATTCTGAGAAAGAAATAGAAGTTGTAATTCTGAAAAAATACAGATGCTTTTCTCAGTTGCCCTCTTGTGTTTTGCTGTCCTGCTCAGACAGTAAATTTCCGTCGTCTAATAAAACTGTGTTGCAGAAAGCCGCTGCCAAGACGGCTGCTCCCTCTGAGAGTGAGACGGAAAAAGCAGAGTGAGTAAAGGAGTGAAGTAGAACTGAAGTCAGAGCGACGTCTCCCGTTTACACGTTTATTTATCGCTGCAGCACAGAGACCCGGGAGAAGGAGGACAAACCAAAGGAGGAGGCGAAGGAACCAGCCGTGGAGGAGAAACCCAAACCCAGATCCAGTCAGCCCAAAGAGGCGTCTCCGGCCTTCATGTCAACCGTCTTCGCCATTCTTGACGTCTATCTGAATAAGATACTGGTGAGCGGAACTAAACTCAAAACGTTTCGCAGTCACAGATCAGCAGTTGGATCAGGAGCTCTTTAATGTTCAAACCAGGGAAGCTCATTCCAACCTCTTTTCTGCAGGATCTTATTCTTTGCACTGTAAAAACATTAAATCCTACCAAGTATTTTTGGTCAGTCTATGGATGCATTGGTGAGAACCATATGCAGCACTTTGATGCAGTTTTTTCAAGTTTTATTTCTTTCTTTCACGCAGAAATGGGATAATCTGTTTTATTCTAAACTTCTGTCTCTCTTAAGGATCCTGCATCATTTTGTTTCCTCTTATGTGTTTTAACCCTTCAAAAAAATCTCTTAAATTAAGAAACTTTGGTTAGCGCATTTCTACTCAAGTGAAGATGTTACAAAAAATCCATCTTCTGCGATTAAAATAGAAGAAAATGAGGGAAACTTGAAGAGCATTATTATTATTGGATTGCTGTGAAGCAGCCGTTCTCGCCCATAACAAACGTTTTCATTGCAGAACTACCTGGCTCGTAACTTCTACAACCTCCGTTTCCTGGCTCTGTTTGTTTGCTTCGCCATCAACTTCATCCTGCTCTTTTACAAGGTAACGAATCCAAAAATCTCCCCAGGGTTTTTCACAGAACTGCAGGCTGAAATGCTGCTAATTTCCACAACATATTGAGGAGATGAAACTCGTGGCATAAAACATGTCGTGTTTTTAGGTCACTGGTGAAGCTGAGGAAGAGGAGGAAGACGAGGAGAACCACTGGGGTGACGATGATGACGAGAACACGCTGTTTGACATGGACGAGTTTGTGCTGCAGGAGAGCACCGGGTACATGCTGCCGACGCTGCGCTTCCTGGCCATCTTCCACACCGTCATCTCGCTGCTCTGCCTGGTTGGCTACTACTGCCTGAAGGTGCAGATTTGCATCAAACCTCCAGCAGATCCAGCCGTTTGGGTTCGATTAGATGTGTTGGTTATTGCACTCTTTGTGTTTTGCTGTCAGGTTCCTCTGGTGGTGTTCAAGAGGGAGAAGGAGATCGCCAGGAAGCTGGAGTTCGACGGTTTGTACATCACTGAGCAGCCGTCCGACGACGACATCAAGGGCCAGTGGGATCGACTCGTCATCAACACGCCGTACGTCAACCAAGACCTTTGTCGTTTCACTGACTTTAACTTCAGAGTTACAGCTATTTTTTCTGGATTTCAGATCTTTTCCCAACAACTACTGGGACAAGTTTATCAAGCGCAAGGTGAGTGTCCGGCTCAAACACACACACGGCATTTTGTCGAGACCCGTAGGAGTCAAACTACAATTTAAATGTTTAGGTACGAGTTTGGTTCAGAGTCAAAATGTAAAGCTCTAAATAAAAGGTTTATTTAAAAAGGTTTTATTGATGTTTCCTGTTGTTGTTCCACAGCATTTATGACGCCCTAGACGGCTAGCTAACATCCGAGTTGGAAAATAACCCAGTCCTTGATGGTTTCTGGTTTTATTTGCTACTCTTTTACGTTAAGCTCTTTTATGAAACTGTAACAAAACACAAAATAAAATCTGTGGAAAGGCAACTAGACCTCAGCTATCAATGTAGCTTAGCTTGAAAATTAGTTGGAAGACATAGAAAGAAGTTTTCTATTCTGCACAATATTCAACTAATTATTAAAAATGAACTTAGACACATTTGGACATTATTTATCTGGAGGACAGCAGAGCAGTTCAGCTGAAACGATTAATAATACAATGTCCACTAGATGGCAGCACAGCTCTATTGTACAACTTCTGACCCAAAGTAAACAAACATGATGATGGAGTCGTCAATATTACTGCATTAGTTATTATTGGCACATCACTGAATGAAACTGAAAGAAGAGTGAAGGATTCCTGACCTTTAAATAGGAGGAGATGAGTTTCTGACGTTACAGGAGAAAGGAAAGTTTGGGTTTTATTAAGTTTATACTTCTACCCTCTCCTTCGAACGTTTATTGCTGTAATTTTATTTGTAACTTGGCACATTCAATGTATACGAAGCCATCAGGAAATATTTAAATGAATATTTGTTCTGCTGTCCTTAGCTTGATTTGAGTAATAATCTGTACTTCCTCTGTGCATGTAGGTGATCAACAAATATGGCGACATGTATGGAGCGGAGCGCATCGCTGAGCTTTTGGGTCTGGATAAGAGCGCTCTGGACTTTGACCCCACCGTGGAGACGGTGGAGAAGGAGGCGTCCCTGCTGTCCTGGTGAGACGATTCAGTCCTTATAAGACAAGAAAAAGCAAAAAACAGACTCATGTCGTATTAGAAAACAATAGAAATCTCCTTTATTGTCCCTCAGTGGAAAATGGAAGCATGTAGTTTACCAAAAAATAAAAAATAAGAGCAACCTGTGGAGTAAGGGCAAATCTACAGCAGTTATCAACATAAATGTGTGCATATATTTGTGCTTAAAAACAACACACTACAAGAAATAAAAAAGAAATAACAACAGGAATGTAAACACTTGAGTTTGTTCTCACAGCTGCTGGAGGAAGGATCTGTGATAATGCTATATAAATTAAATAAATCAGAATCATAATTAAATGCCAACTTATTTTAGTAACTCAATTCAGAGTTGATTTAATTACAGCCTTCATTTCTGGTAATTATGAAGATTTTCTTCTTACAGCCAATGAAACCACGGCATAGAAGATTAGAATATTTTAAAAAAATCAGAAATGTGGATTATTTATAACAAACCATATCCAATACACGCTAGTTATTTATTAGCTTCAAAATTAATTTGGACTGATGGTAGATGCTGTTTTGTCTCCTCCATTATTGACATATTTTCACATCACCAGCAGATTTTAAAACGCTATTTTTCAAGTCCAATGTATTCTATTCAGTAATTATGTGATTTTTATTATATTGTCAGGTTTTCCAGTCCAGAATCTGTTTTGTAAAATAAACTCTGCTGGTTTGATATTTCTAAAATAAACATTTTCCTCCCCAACAGGCTGAGCTCTATTGACACAAAGTACCACATCTGGAAACTAGGAGTGGTTTTGACCGACAATGTGAGTTTATTCATCGGTGTAAAACAACATCACAGGAGCCAGGATGGATGTTTTCCTCTAAATTCAGGCTTCTGTCCGTCTCTGTCCTCCAGTACTTCCTGTATCTCATCTGGTACACCACCATGTCCATCTTTGGACACTTCAACAACTTCTTCTTCGCTGCACATCTGCTGGACATCGCCATGGGCTTCAAGACGCTGCGCACCATCCTGTCCTCCGTCACTCACAACGGCAAGCAGGTGAGGGCGTCGGCCACTAGAGGGAGCCAAAGTGTTTGTAAATGTTTTACTGGACGCCATTATGACAGAAAATAAGGTCTAATTCAGTGTTTTTCAACCTTTTTTGAGCCAAGGTACATTGTTTTAA